CCATGACTATGCTACAAACATGAAGAGGAAGCTTGACCATATGAAGGAATCTGATGGTAAGGTTTTACTTGATCATCAGCGGTTTGTGGGTTTGTTCCAAAGGCATTTATTGCCTTCGTCCCTCTGGGGCTGTACCTGGTAATGAAAGCTTCAAATGATGAACCTCCAATGCCTCCTCCTTCTGGGGTTTTGTCAAGTACTGAGGCTCCGGATAACCACCCTCCGGTGCTTTCTCTTTCTGCTGGGCTCTACCGACTGCTGAGACTTCCCTAAGCAACCTTTGTGAAGGCTCCCTTTTGTTTGTTATTTTGACTCATGTATATGTACATATTTGTGGCTTATCGAAAATATTAATAAATAAGCTTTGCTTCATTTCAACATATTGTGTTAAATACACCAAAGCCTTCTTCATAAAGTTCTTTGAATTTTTGCTTTTGTTGAAACCTGTATTGTTGAAGCTTTGTGAGTGAAGCATGTAGTTTGAGGTAGTGTTCCCTTAATTTCCCGAGTGAGGAAAACTTCTCGGTTGGAGACTTGAAAAATCCAAGTCACTGAGTAGTCACGAACTTTTGAGTACCAAGGCGTAGTAGCATATGGTGGGAGTCCCCAAGTCTCTAGTCGAGGGAGTTGGCGAATGAGGTGTCTTGCTAATAGTCCATGTCGTAAGTACCAAAACTTCTCATTCTTTTGTTTTCTAAGTGGGTAGCCTCGGACTTTTTCTTCATATATTTTGTTTATGAAGGTTGCTAGGCCCGAATAAGTGGAATTGCAGAAGGTGTAACGGTTGGTAGCTGTTTTATGGAAAGCCATCTGACTACGATAGTCTTGCACATGATGACTATAGGGAGATACACACACATACTGCTATGATAGAGGGGTGTAACCGTTGGTGCATTACAATCATAATGGAAGCATCACAATGATGGAAGCATCACAATGATGAAAGCATCATAATGATGAAAACACCATAATGATGAAACATCATAATGATGTTTCTTTGGTGGAATTGTTTTTCATTTCCCCTAACACCCGGAATTGGTTTTCAATTATAAGACCATCATCTGTGTAAGCTCGAATCACAAAAGTTGTCTTCATGAAAGTTGTTCTTTAATTCCTTAACTACAACATATCCAAATTTGAGAGCCATCCAGATCAGTACAACTCTAGAAATTCAGGTACGACGAGTGATTGTTCATCATTTGTCTGTCAACACGTCAGACCTGTTGTGAGCTTCAAAAAATCCATTTTCTCTTGCTTAGATCAACATACTTTCTTCATCGAAGTTGTTCCTCAGCTTGTGAAACTACAACATATCCAAAATTTGAGATCCCTCGGAGCAGTATAACCCCAGAAATCCAGGTATGAGATGAATGACTGGTTATTATTTTTCTATCAACCCGTCAGATTTGTTTGTGAGCTTCGAAACTCCATTTTCTCTTGTTCAGATCGGTATGCTTTCTTCATTGAAGTTGTTCCTCAGCTCGGGAACTACAACATATCCAAATTTGAGATCCCTCGAGCAAGTATAACTCCAGAAATCCAGGTATGATGAATGACTGGTTATTATTTTTCTGTCAACCCGTCAGATTTGTTGTGAGCTTACGAAACTCTATTTTTCTATTGTTCCGATCGGCATGCTTTCTTCATTGAAGTTGTTCCTCATCGTCTCTTTCATAACATATCAAAAATTCAGAATGAACTAATGGTTAAATATTTCCAGATCTTCGAAACATCACAGCAGCTTCGAAAATCTGCAAGAATCCGACTGTCATGTTTGGAGCTTCAAACACTTTAATTTTCGTCGCTCAAACAGAAATGGTTCCTTCTTGAAAGTTGTTCATATGCTCAGAAACTATAGGGTGTCCAAAATTCAGCTCCATTGGAGAAGAGCAGAGGTTGCAGAAATTTGATAGATGAAAGGAGGCGGAAGAGGGAGAGAGAGAAAAAGTCTCTTGGTTGGATTTCTATTTTGGGCAGATTCCAATTTTTAGCACTCATATTGATGATTGCTTGTCTTTGTCAATATGAACTTGGGACTTTGTTGTTGGATCTATATATATGTTTGGGGCATTGTTAAATAAGAAGGAAAATTCGCCCTTTTGAATCCGGTATTCGTCGGGACACTTGTTCAATATGCAGTTTGAGGGTTTGTGCATGCCAATCAAGTAGCACCACTAAGGCAAAAAGCTCCATGGACCATTTTCATTTGACCTCAAGTGGGAGGAAGACTCTTATTATATATAGCAAGACCTAGATGTAAATCTAAACTGTAGGGGTATCCTAAGCTAATTGAATGAAAGTTAAAAACACGTGACAGTGTATGATAGATATGAAATATCGTAATAATGTCATTTTTCATGTTTGGTATGTTTACATTTAAGTGGAGATCGAAAAAGTTAAATTCATGAAAATGCATTAAGTAAATTACTTAAGAGACTGTCACGTCATTTCCAATGTTAGGTAAGTTTATATCCAAGTGGAGACCAAACAAAATAAATTTAAAAAAAATACCAGTGATGATAGTGAAGTAAAGCTATTGAGTAAAATTAGACAAAATCGTCTGGGTGGTGTAGTCGGTTATCACGCTAGTCTCACACACTAGAGGTCCCCGGTTCGAACCCGGGCTCAGACAATTTTGAAAGGTTGCCGATTTATCTAAGCATGTGAGCTTTCTTTTTTTTGACATTTTTTATTACAAAAGTCAACCAAGTAGAAATAATAGAAATTCTCCCCGGCACATTTTTCTTCACGAGTGACTTCACACGTGAAAAACAAAAGTGCGGGTGAAAAAACTGAAACATTAACATGCATGTAGCTCGACTTGAGTGCACCACGTTAAATTGCAATGTCCGGTTTTTACCCTTACACTGTTTGCAATGTCTGGTTTCCTCATCCAAATACAGTGTTAGGGTTTACAACGCAAATACAATACACCATTTGTTTTTGTTTCATTCAAATTAGTGCATGTAGTTTATTGTCAAGGGTTGCTTGCTTGTAGTAGCAAAATGTGAATTCAAGACTTACACCCAACTGGTGCTGAAGCAATGCATTGTATTATTTGGTGTATTTGGGGGATTTCCATTTTTCACATTATGGAAGATAGGATGTATTTCTAATCTGTCAATGCTCCATTACACATATATTTTGAAAGTACGACGTGATAAATTCACAAACAGAATTCAATCACAGAACACCGGAATCTCGAGTAATGTCGGGGAGCTACTTCTTTTATTTAATTTTATTTTTTTAAAAACATACGATATTATCTACAACTCCGCCTATGTAAGTTTATCTTACATTGCCGGTCCCAAGCCCGGATAAAGGAGGAGGGGGAGGGCGTCAGGTAGTCGACAGCCGGCACTCCACAGTTACGTCGAATCCTTATGACAAATGAATCCAGAACGAAATCGCGCTAAAGCTAGGACGTCACCCGTAAGTGGCGCGCTGTGTGGCCCGAGCACAGTGATAAGTGAGCAAGGGTCGCTGTATCTCCATCAGCACCCGGATGCAGTGTTTAAATGAGCAAGGGGGCCATAGAAAACTTCTTTTCGAACGACTCCGCTCAAAGTTGTTTGGGAGCATATGCTCCTATGAACTTTACACAGGACACACAAAAGAAGTACTTTGACGCGCAAATGACGTTCTAGGATTCATATAGCCGACCCCACACTTAGTGGGAAAAGGCTTTGTTATTGTTGTTGTTGTTGTATACGATATTATCTACACCAAGGGAGGGGGAGGGCACCGCTTAACCTCATAATGGGCTAGCAATAATGTGATTCAAACTCACATTTGACGAAAATCGAATCTGAGACCTCTCAGTTACAAGTGAAGAGGAATACAACTAAACCGTAGTACTAAGTGACAAGTCGGGAAGCAACTTAGAAACAATACCCGTACAGATACGGAGATGATGGGGGACGGAAGAAAGTAGCCATGCCTCATAAAGTGAAGCCACACCTATGTTACTGTGGTGTGCCAGCAATCAAAATAATGATGGGAGATAAGTCAGACAGATCCAAATGCCTCAAATAATTGAGTTAAAAAAAAATGGATTTCTCTTTCACGCATCTGATTCAATCACGACTCTTTTTTTGCTGTTGCACAGCTATGACTCAAAATACTTTCATGGGTATGAAGGGAAGGCGATTTTAAGGGCCGCCCTTTAGAACAACCCAAAAAAATGCAGAACAAGTATTTAGAAGGATCACTGTAAAGGTAGCAGAATTTGAATGCAAGTAAAAACCATAATGCTATGTTTGGGTGAGGGATTAATAAGCCCAAGGGATCGAGACCAATTAGTAAGGAGTAGACTACAAAGTGTTAGACGAAGGGAATTCGAAAACCCCTCCATGAGCATTGCAAAGGCATGTAGGAGGGATTTGCAAATCACTACTAGGAAGGTGTCATTTGCAAATCCCCCTCACTTGCCTTTGTAATGGTCACGGGAAGGCATTCCGAATACCCTCACTTTGTGGTTGCACGATTTACATACTGAGAAGGATAAGTTTACCTGTTAAACGGCATAAAATCTAACCTGTTAGCCTATCTGATGGGTAACTACCTACTAGAATCCCACTCCATAGATGGAGAGTGTGTGGATTCAATCGTGCTTGTGTCTAAGGTACATCATGTAGGTTCCCAACTACTTAATACAATATCTCAGAAGATCGAAAGTGAACAAATAATTCTGGCCGAAGTTCCACCATTGAGAATTTGGGATAATGCAAATATCAAATCCTATCGATGTGGAGAACTCTCAGTGTAGGACATACCATTGACAGACACTCTAATATATAAAATTGGCATCACATACACAAAGACCACCTATTGTAATGAAGGCCGAATTCTATGTCTAACATGTACAAAACCTTGACTACGGATTTAAGAAACTATGCATCAAGTAGCAAATGAAGATATCTGAAGTAATCACCTCCTGTTTATCTAATATGGTAAAGGGGCGACCCCAGGTCAACAAGGGCTGGGGGTGGACGTCTATCGTCTATCGTACGCAGCCTTACCTGGGCTGTTCCCAAGACTCGAGCCCGTGACCTTTCGGTCACAAAGGAGCAACCTTTCTGTTGCGCCAAGGCTCGCCCTCGTGATATCTAATGTAATCACGTAAACAAATCAATTAGAAGCAATTAACAAAAACGAGTAAAAACAGATGAATTAAATGTGCTTATTCAAACCTAAACCTTCTGTTTCTGTATGATGATAAGAACGAAATTTACAAAGTGTTGAAAGAATAAAGAGAACAATCTACAGCAATTCCACTATCATATGTCAGTTCCCTATACAAAATATAAATGTAATTGTAGAAAAACTCATACTCACATATACTCATTGCCACCGATTCGAGTCTTCGAGAACCAACCTCAATCTCTGAGCCAACACATCCAATTCAGCAAGGCGTTGGAGCTGCCACTGCGTCTCGAAGTCCATTGCAGTCTTCCCCTCATTCGAAGAACCCGAACCCGAAGCCAAACGAACCGGGTCAGAACAGAGCACACCCTGTTGAACAAGAAGCATCCGAACCTCATTGAGAGACTGATCAAACACGTCCAGAACACTATTCGCCGCCAGCGCAGCAATGGGCCGTGCCAACTCGCTCGTCGTCTTCACCTCATCGCCGCTATCATTTTCGACATCGAGATCATCCGAAACGCTCTGGTTCTTATTCTGATTCAGATTCTCATCCGCCGCCGCCAAATTATCAGACTCTCCGGCGTCGCTCTTTTCTCTGTTACCGAACGGGGAAGTGGACCAGCACTCGGGGCTCCAGAGCTTCCTGGAGAGGTCGTACAGGGCGCGATCGTGAGGCGAGAGCTGGGACTCGCAGAGGCCGCGAGTGAGGCGGGACGAGACGACTCGGAACTTTTTCCGGAGGCGGCGGAGCTTCTCGGAGAGCTGGGATTTGGTGTAGGAGTGAGAGACGGTGGCGGAGAAGCGGCCGTAGAAGAGGCGGAGGTCTTTGGGGAAGGAGAAGCCACCATGGGAGGCGCAGTCGAGGAGGCCTTGGAGGAAGAGAAGCTCGTCGGGCTCGGTCCAGACTCGGTGGTACTTAAACGGGGGCGTTCTGGCGGTGCTGAGGGTTTGGGCATATGAATCTGGTGGGGTTGGGACGAGGACGACGTCGTTGAAGTCACTGAGGAGTTGGGGAGAGAAGAGGTTTAGGGTTAGGGTTAATGGAGTCGGGGTTTTTTGCGTTTGATGGGGAGCTTGGTAGCGGAGGAGGGTGGAGGGTAGAGGAGTGGGCTGCTGCATTGGGATTGGGAATGGCGAAGAAAGGTAGGGGTAGGGGTAGGGGTAGGGGTGGAGTCCATGGCTAACCTTGGCTCAGGGAAGTTTTGGGTGGAAGGTTCAGTCAGTGGCTGACTTGTGACTTGCTTTTTGTTTGAATAGATGTTTTTGGTTTAAATCTTATAAATATTGAGCTTGATAATATATATATATATATTTTTTTCAAGTAAATCTATCATTTCAATTGATAATGTTCATTGTTCCTTAATAAATAATAAGTAACAATTTTTTTTTTCTTTTAAATAAAATTAATAAGCATTACGAAACACATATTAGATGAATGTACAAGAGAAAATGATAACTAGACATTTTTTTTAATTTTATTACACATTTCTCTTTGTTTCTTACAATTAGATTTAAATCAAACGGAATCAATGAAAAAATTTAGGGTTTAAAGTTTCTCCAATGAAAAACAACAATGTGGGGACACATGATGATTAATTGAGAATTGGGTGCTGATTTCAACACACACATTTTTAACTTTGTACACCCTCTGTTAATTCTGACAATTAATTTTACTTTAATTGTTGAATTTAACAGCTACAAAACAAGAAATGTGTGTATGAGAACAGATGTGTGAAAACCATTTTCCTTTAGAAAAAATAAGTTATGATAACAAATGGGGCTGTGAAGCTTCATTACTTGATAAACGCTTGAAAGGTTGAAGTCCCATCTCAAGTGGAGAGCACGTTGTATGCCATTTTTTTTATTAGGATAGGATACGGATAGGACTAGTCCCATATCTCTGTGTTTGATAGGATAGCACAGTGGCTTGTCCAGATGGTATTGCTTGCTAAGCACGCTGTTTGGCTATTTACTTTGGACGGCATTGAGCGAGAAGCTTCATGTTACCAAAAGGGAAAACTAAAAATAAAAAAAAATCAAATATTTATCAAACGGCCTAAGGCCTCGTTTGATGCTCAGGATTAGCTTGGATTGGACAAACTCACTGTTCATTTAATGAATGTTGAATGAAAATATGGATGTCAACTTGCATATTTTGACCGAGAGTGAGAGTAGAAGGTGAAGAAATCGTAAAGAAAACTTGTCCTTACAAAATCTCCACAAAAATGGTAAGACTGAGAGTGACAAGTTTTCGTCCTGACTTCTTCATCTTCTACCTTCACTTGGAGAAAATATGCAAGTTGACATCTGTATTTCTATTCAACATTCGTTGAATATAGTGGATTATCCAAGTCAAGCCAATCTTAGACATCAAACGAGCCCCAGGTGTACTGGGTGTCTTCGGTTTCCGGCTTTCACCTCTAGTTTGCCTTGGTGCCAGTTGAATGTTTTAATTTTTCCTCCATAGCTGCTTGTGTTTGGTGCCTTTGCCGCAAAGCTTGTGTTTTTATCCTGTTAGCTGTTAGTGTCGTGATATTTCTACAAATAAGTAAAGGGCACAGAATTGGCTACAGCCTTAACTACGTACCCTTATATTGTAAGAAAAATGTCATTAGAATCTGAATAATGTACAACCCATCGTCACCGGAAGACAACAATAGCAAGGCATCTCTCGGGCGGACGACGCTTTTGTTGACACTTCGATCTGTCTATCAAGTGGTCTTTCGTTAGCATGAGCTACGGGAGTTGCTATTCATCCAGACTTCTTCGACTGCACACCTATCCTCAGATCCTCCTCCAGATGGTAAGAAATTGTTGTCGAGAAAACGTTCACCGATCACTAGTGTTACAATGCAGAAGATGTAAATCCCATAGGCTTGAGTCCATGGACAATTGAATATCAATCTGGCAGGGAGATATTTCCAATTAAGATGGACGGATGCTATAGATGACAGGCAGAGGGTCTTATTATGTGACCAGAACACTTGATTCGAGTAATGCTAAACGGTTTTTTGGTGAGAGTAAGTAAGCTTCTCTTCTGTTTTTCTGCCGCCTTTTCTTGCACTCCACGGACAATATCCTCAGGAGCTTTCTCTACAAACTGCATGTACAACGCTGATATCGTCAGAGGTACATGATACCTGGGCATGCATGAACAGCATGGGGACGGAACTATACTAAAGAAAGAAAGGACTCAACATGCATGCATGCATCATAATAAGCGAAATTTTCTAATAGTTCCAGCTATCCTAAGCGAACCATTATGTGCAAGGACTTTTTGTTTATATCTAGTTATTCCAATGCATCCTACTAAATGTTTTAGGTTTTATTTAAGTTTGGTTACTTTTTACTAATTATCCCTGTTAGCAAAATTGAAATCCAATCATTTCATTCGATGGATCTTTAGGGAAGAAGACATGTCAAATACTTTCGCCTATCAATGCCAACTGCCAAGTGCTTGAACATGATTAACAGAATTCATACTTTAGGAGAGCTGAGCCGAGCTTTAAGTCCATCATATTCCGCCTGCATCTTGGAAAGTCTCTTAGATAGGCGTTGGATTTCGGCAGTAATATCAATCATGTCAGCAAGAGGGAGATATGCCTCTAGTCCTTCACCAGCTACAAGGTGGACTGATTGATCCGCGTTCCCTGAAGTAAAATACATGACATCCACCAAAATATATGCCTCAACATCAGATCATATAAATCCATAAAAATAAATGACAATAAACATGAACATTTCCGGTCCTTTGTCAAATGTAAAATAATCCATGAAGAAATGTGCCTGGAGGAGAATCTGTAAAATGGACGTTTTGCAAATCCAGCCTGGACAGAAGAGTTAAAACCTCCTTTTCTTTCTGCATCAAAATATAAATTCAAATATTTACGTGAGTTAGTGCGAATGATAATTATGTCCAAACATATATATGCACATAAATAAACAACTTATCAAAAGAGCAGGGACAGCAACTAGTCATCTCAATTTTCACTGAAAAAAATTTGAAATCCGAGCTCAGATGAGACTTCAGACGCATGAAACTCTCGAAGAACATATGCATGATTCAGCAATTAGGACCAGTCCTGACTTCGTTTTGCTATATCAGGGGCCCATGATTGGCCCAGTGGGATCTCGCACAACGGTTTCATGGGGCATGGACAGCTTTACGATATGATTTATGATTCAGTCTGTGGCTCTCTATAGTGTCTACACTAACAGGAAGGTCCAATAATGATCCACCAATTTTCTATACAGTCACAGTTCATTCATATCTTTCTTACTATAAAAGTGCAAAATATAATACAGGAACATACTTAATAAGCACCACCTCATCAGCTCTTACATTTTAATCAAGTGCAAAATCATGGCTGGAGAATGAATACGTACCATTATGTATTCAGTGACTTCTTCATTTGCAACTATTGATGCTGATATACGCTTTACAGGCTCAACAGAATATTCTGCTCGAGCATTTCTGATAGCTCTAGTCTAAGAATAACAAAGAAGCAAACTTAGTGATTTAATTAATTGACTACAAGAAAAATATAGAAGATACCAGCTGTGCCAGATGGACTTGGATATGGAGCAATAAACAAGGACGTAGGAATATCTACTCACCAATGCCTGTAAATTCTCAAACTTTTTAATCGAGTTGCTCTGCCTTGGAAGTGAAGTCAGTGGCCATGGAGATACAATAAGAGCTTCTTTCCGAAAGGGGAGTGCCTATATCAAATCAATCATTCATTTTAACAGTGAAACATTATCAGGGATAACAGTACAATGAAGGTGAACAAGCAGTCCACCTATAATGCAGCAGTCCACCTTAAACCCTAAGCAAAATTTTCTTATTTTAATAATTAAACCTTAAGAAAATAATAAATACCTTATCGGTAGAGAAGTTGAATTTAACACAAATGGTGAATACAGTGAATCAGTTTACCTGCCAGAGTTCCTCGGTCACAAATGGCATAAAGGGGTGTAGCAATTTAAGTATGTTTTCAAAAACATACAATAGAACTGCCTGTGTGACAGAAGCAACTGAATCACCACCAGAGTGGTAAAGAGCTTTGCTGGCCTCTATATACCTGCATAAATGAAAAAAGACAACAGTTGACAAAGATGTAATGCATCTGAGTTAGGCAGAGCCGCAGAAGATATTAACAAAAGGAAAAAGAAAACGGTTAACATTTTTTTCTGTTATGTAGTAAGAAACACACTTTCAATGATAAAAAACAGAGCAAAACAATACAGGGAGAAAGTTGTCCAGTCATCTGCTAGGCTATACAAAACAGAGATGAACCTCATAGTATTACATAACAGCAGACAAAAAGAAAGCTGTTAAAGTAGCACCAACCCCAAACCAGGGGAGAGGTTGTCCAGTCATCTAGCTAGGCTACACAAGGTTGTTCACAGTATCCAATGAACATTCTTAAAGTAGCAACCAACCCCAAACCAGCAGGCGCTGGGCTTGACACATGGATTGTTCTTGCATAAATTGTTAAAGCTAGAGTATCCAACCAAAAACCAATTGGCATTGAGTGGAAAGTCTAAAAACATTGTAGATTTCCATGCAAGGCTTAGAATCCACAAAATTTTATGTCCTAAACACCTTTGGAGAAGTGTTCTGCCAGTTTGTGTTTAATTTTTCTTAATGAATAGATAGGAACATAAGATGACGCTTTCAATAATTATCTGATGGTAAACATTTGAATGAAAACTCCAAGCATACCAATCAGCAAAATCACCCCAAAAGAATTCATACGTCTCTCTTCCAACATCTCCAAAGAAAAATTTGTCATAGCTTGCGGTGACTGTGTCAATAAGCAAATGAAGTTTTGAAATCTGAAAAAGGAAGGAAAGTGAGTGGTTAAACAAAGAAGTAAAATCAACAGGCAATAAAGAAAATTAACCTGACAATTATCTTACCACCCAAGATTCTGGTAAGGGTAGCTTGTCTAGGAGATCCACTTTATCAAACTGAAAAAGCATTGTCTTGAATTAAGAAGCAATACAAGTAATACTCAACATCCTATAATGTAAATACAACCACTGCTAAAGTACAGTAAGATTGAAATTTCTAATATTTAGTGGAGAAATGCAAGATACAATTATGGGCCATGATATGATATAGCACCAGATGATTGCATCTTATGGAATGTGGAGAGATAGAGTGGTTATGACATGTACATGGAGAATCTATTTGATTCCCATTCATGAGACAATTAGCCAGTGTGCTATTGGCTAATTTAACACATTGTATGGACAAATTCAGAGAGTAAAAGTGAGAAAGAAAACCATAGCAAGTGAAGTAATTTGTAAGAAATCTTTAGAGAACTTTCAATTATAAAAGAGCAGCATCAACCGAAATTAAGCCTGCCCATTTGCTTTGGTAATTGAGAACTCGCTAAATGCATTCAGACAGGTTCAGAAATGTTGTACCTTGCAGACAAGTTTGTGATACATATACGAGATTGGGGATAACTTTAGTGATATCAGGTCAATTTAAGTTCTTGTGAATCCTCAAAAGTGGAAGTTATCAGTTTAGAGATACATATATGAGACGGGGTGGAGCATTTTCTGGTCAATCCTTGAGAGAGGAAGTTATACTTCATAGCTCAGTGGCAAACGTATGCAACTTAAGTTTTCTCGTATGACTTGAGATTGTGTTAACAACAAACCTTATAAGAAAGTATATTTTCCCAAGTTGATGTTGAGATTGTGTTAACAACCAACCTTATAAGAAAGTATATTTTCCCAAGTTGATGCTTCGCTTTGACTGGGTAAATTCTGCAATACAAACTTTCCAGCATTCCACAGTTTATTAGTGAAGGCCTTGTTGGATGTCAACCTCTCAGTGGATAAATTAAGGTCCTGGACGACAAGAACACCCAAATCAGCCAGAATGGTAGTTGTATCAAGCTATTAACATGCAACAGCTGAAGACTGCATACACCTATTCTCGTCAGCAAATAAAGTAAAATCGGTTTGTTTTTAAAAGTGACAATTTTGAATAAATGCAGAATTCATTCATAAGTAAAGTGACGACAAAACAAACCTGGCCAGCAGTCCCTAGAGCAATTGTAAATCTTAAAGCATCTGTGCCATATTCCTTGATTGTGTCTAATGGATCTATTACATTCCCCAATGTTTTCGACATCTTTCGGCCCTGAAATGATTGTTACACAAATTATTTCAAATCTTGCAACATCAGACACGTAAGAGTAGAGTACAAATGCTTTAGAGAATAGATTAAAAAAAAAGAATAAAAAAAAGAAGGAACAATCAAGGGTTTTGTCTGACTACATTCTCTTTTGTTGGATAATTAATAACTGTTAAAAGAGCCCAAAGAGACTCGTGGTTGATTTACACGAATAGTATACACATGTAATTTACAAGATGATACTAAAACTAGTCACCACATGAAGAGTAATCTCCAGACATTAGCCTAATTATCAAACAAGGAATGTCTCATCCTTAAGAGTCTGACAATATCTTCTGTATGAGCACCAGACTACACAAGGAGAATATCCCTCTAAATTAACTGATTACCGTTCAAAAAAAAAAAAAAAAAAAAAAAAAAAAGACTTCATGTAGACATGCCAAGACACATTGTAAGTATAAAACAATGGTTTATAGCAGTGTTTTCAGAGGTGAAGGTGTAAGTAGAGGTGTGTAGGGTCTCCCAAGGTGAGACATATAGTATTGGATTTTCAGTTCATTTTTAATGATTCTTTAAATTTTTCTGGGCTCAAGAAGATTTCCCTGCTTTCATTTCAGATTGAAAGTCCATTTGGGAGTTTCGGTAAAGAAAGCCATCCAAACAGTTACGTCTCTCTCTCTCTCTCTCTCTCTCTCTCTCACTGATTTTTGGTCCAACACTTGCAAAACAATTGCATTCAATCTCATGCAGAAATTCTTTAAGAATCGCCCTTGCATGAATTGTGTGAAGCAACTGGTGTCTTATCATCTCTCTCTCTCTCTCTCTCTCTCTCTCTCTCAGGTTTATAGATTGGTCCACCACTTGCAAAACCCTATTTTGCATTCAATCTCACCCAGATATTCTTTAAGAATCGATCTTGCATGAATTGTGAGAAGCAACTGGTGTCTTATCAGATTGTTGGAAGTAATCTGGAAAATACAAGATAACAACAACAACAACAACAACAAAGCCTTTTCCCACTAAGTGGGGTCGGCTATATGAATCCTAGAACGCCATTGCGCTCGGTTTTGTGTCATGTCCTCCGTTAGATCCAAGTACTCAAGTCTTTTCCTAGGGTCTATTCCAAAGTTTTCCTAGGTCTTCCTCTACCCCTTCAGCCCTGAATGATCCCCCTCCGGTGCCTTCTCTTTCTGGGGCTCTACCGACTGCTGAGACTTCTCCTAAGCAACCTTTGTGAAGGCTCCCTCTTGTTTGTTTATTTTGACTC